GAAAGAGTGAAGAAGAGATTGAGGCTGAGGAGAATCTTGAGATTGAAGACAAAGAGGGAGAATACGACGAGGAGGAGGAAGACGAAGAGGAGGAAGACGAGCAGTCTAGCGAAGGTTAGACAGACTGATTTGTCCTTTCTTTCTGCTAGATGGAAGTGAAAACTGAGCTGAGTACTTGCAATGTAGAATGAAAAAGATCTGCCTTAGAAATCTTTCCTTCTCCTTTCACTTTTATATTACTTTGATTTTTTAGGGAGTTATTGTCAAGGAAACTTTTAGGTGGATCGTTCTGGATCTTTCCCCACAGGGCAGTTACAGCACTATTGACAACACAACATGCTTCCCATATACCATGCCAACGTGTGCAACTCACAGCTTTGTGACAATGCATTGTTTTATTGTTGTTTATTATTATTATTGGGAATTGGATTTGAATGTGCCCTTTGTTCTTTGACAGCAAGAACTGGAAGCATTGTGGAGGCAGCGTTTTCAGTTTCGCAGGGTGCCTCACCCAGAGGTGGTCCCCTACAGCTAACATCAGGGGATCCCAGAAGCTGCTTTCCGCTCTCCTTATTTAGAAGAAGGTCTTGAGAAGACAAGGAGTTTAGATTGTTCTAATTTTAGCTCTGAGGGGTTTCCTGTAGAAAATCTCAGAGAAAGACTCTTTTCTCTGCATTTGTCTCAGTCACCGTAATGCAGAGCTTGTGGTAAGAATATACATGTTTTCAGCATTTCACCACCATTCCAGATTTCTCATTTATCTTGGCTTTGTAATTTCATTTCCCTTTTGTGAAGACTATCAGACTCCTTTGGCCTCCTTGTGGGAGCAGAGGTCCAGTTACAGTGAATCTTAGCGGCAGTTTTGTTCATGAACTCAACAGGCTGCTTGGCTACTCTTTCAGCATAGGAACTGTGTGTCTCCATAGCTGAAGTCTAGGAAAGTCAAGACTGCTTTTTAAGTATGGTAACCTGCATGCTGTGTGTTTCGTCTGCTAAACCATGGTGTTTTCAGACAGCCGTTGTTTCTGTCAAGCAGAGTTTTCCTGTCAGGCACTTTGAGTGCAGTGGGAGTAATACTCATTGGATTTCCAGACAGTTCTTTCTTTCTGATTCTGTACTTTCTCTCTTTCTCTCTTTCTCTCTCTCCATTGCTTGTGGCGCGCGCACACACACGCACACACACGTGTGTCTGATGTTATATATGGATGTGTGGTTCCCTCTGCTGTAGAGGGAGAGTATTGCCCTTGGGAGAGAGAGCTGCAGCAAGGCCTCTGGCTTCAACGTCTCTCAAATGAAGAGGACACGGGTACATTTAAAGGTACCCATATACCTTTTCCACTTCCATTTCCCCTAAGCAGGGGGGAGTGTTTTAAAGAGCAGGTCCCACATGAGAAAATTTTCTCTTTTATTTATTTGCTTTACCAGCTCTCTCAAAACTGATTCAATAGCTGCTGTTATCTTTATCTCCTGATCGATTGCTGAATTTCAGGTCTGGCATCTCTGCTGATTTTAGGAAAAAGATAAAGCTGCCACATACTTCAGGATATCTAGAAATCCGGGTCAGTCTGCCACCATAATGTGCATGAACAGTGAACCCCATACATATTCAGGACGTTTCAGATTTGTTCCTGTGCAATGTGTCAGACACACTGGACACATCAGAACTACTGCTTTTAGATTGCCTGTGTGAGCAAACTTGCATTTTTTGTTGTATCCTTTGTGAATGTATGTCTGTGGGGAGAGAGTGTTGGGGAAGCTAATCAAACTCTGGAGATCCTCCGATTTTTCAAAGTCACAAAATGGACGTGAAGTTAATCTGGCGTTCTAGTTTAACTAGTTGTGCTATTTTCCATAATGTGTTTTGCTGCAGTTTATTTCTGGTGTGCTTTTTTGAAGCACTTGGTCCTAATAGCTTGTCAATCCCTTATTCACTCAATGTGGTTCATCAGAGCCAGAATACATGAGTGGAAAATCCAAGGGCCTTCATACAGGTAAGAAGGCATACCCAGTTGTCAAACTACATACTTTGGGACTAGCAGTTGTAACCACTGTAGCTTAGCATCTGTCATATTTATAAAACAATAAATCTAAGATGTTATATTTTTCCCAATTTAGTTTTTCTGGTGGAAAGGATTAGAAGTAGTAGTAGGATGGCTGAAGATCATAAATGAAGAAGTTTTCCCGTGTTGTAGTTGCTAGTTTGCTTTAGACCTGGCTTCTAAGAAGTTGATTCGTGGGTGGCTTCACATTCTACTAAATGTTAAGATGACCCATTTCTTATTAAGTGCTGGTAAATGCTAAAGTAAAACTAGAGGGGAAAGCTACCTATCCACATGGAACAAATGTCCAGCTTCCTGCAAAGCATAGGAGGTAATCTTGGGGGAAGGCCATACCAGCTGTCATTTGAAATTCTCAAGCTTTTAGACCTCAAAGAAGTGTTAGATTTGCCTGTTAGCCAAGCAGCAGTCCTTCGCAGTTGGCTGTGCTGTTTAAACTGCAGTTTACTTACTGAAAAAGCTGAGCAGAACCTATTCCCTAGTTAAGGCCCAGGCCTCTCTATAGAGTCTGGGGGGGTTGACTGCAGGTGTGTATGTTACACTGGTCTAAATCTCAGATAAATCCATGTTAAAAGCATGCAGATCATGTGGGACCTGCTCTTTTTGAGCCTTGCTGAGTGACTATATACTTCTCAGCCATTGCTGGCTCACCTAAACCTTTTAACACTAAATTTTGCGTGGGGATGCAAATGCTAACTCTACTCATCCTGTGGCCTGCATGTGAGTGCTTTGGTATGCGGTGAGAAAAACCCGGTTTCCTTTTCCTGCAGGATGTCAAGTAGCTATGGTTCGATCATGTTTTTGAGCTGATTGATACAAAAACTTTCTGATGAGGTAATAGGGAGACAAAGCTGCTAAATATGTGACTAAATTGTGAATGGTACTCTGCATTTGAGTTTGTGTGTCTGATCCCATTTCCCCTTTAATAATCCCCCGGTGATTCCATCCTTTTTGCAGTTCCTTCTGCCTGTTTTTTCTGCAGTTTTAATACTAGCTATCATACGCAGTCATTCCTGGAACTGAAGTCCTAAACACTTTGTTATGTCTAGGGGGATCATTGCTGGGAGAGAGGAACTGCATTAAAACAGGACAACAGGAATTGAGTATGGCCTCTAAATGCTGCTAATGTTTCTTGCTTCTTTCCAACCTCTAGTCCAGCTTATGAAAGTCTAATTGCTTTTGAGTTTTAAGCTACTAAAGTAGTGGTTTAGCCTACACAGAGATAATCCACCCGTGAATAGTGAGTTAACTTTATAAAGTGGGCATTTTCCTATTCAGCATGAGTCATTTGTTTTTGAAGACCACTCCCTCTGCAGACACTGAACACCTTGGCCCCTGCAGAGTGACGTATTTTATTAGGGGTAAACAAAACCTGAGACATAGTCTCATAGCAGGTAGCAAAACCTGAGACATAGTCTCATAGCAGGTAGCAGTAAAGAAAGGGTCTGTGAAGATAATAGACTAATCTCAGGGGAAGATCCTTTCAGCGTGAGTATTCTGCAGCCATTGGGTAAATTCCTGTCATGTCTGCTCTTCCCTTTAACACTCCCTATGTAATGAGCTTTGTGTAGGCAAGTGAATGAGGAATAATGTAATTCCTTTGAAACAAATTCCTCTTTGCAAAGGGAAATATGTCTTTGGCAGGGGGTAAGTCATAAAGAAAATGTTGATAACTGCTCAAAAAACACTTCTGCCCTTTAAACAGTCCAGTTAGTGCAAAATAGCAGGAGTACATAGAGTGTTTAATTGTTAAAACGAGTGTGTGCCCATGTGTGCATATGCATTTACACATAGATCTGAAACTTTGAGATCCAACTGTAATTTAATTCACAAAGAAAGATTTACCCGGCATAGAAAGGAATACTTAACCAGATAGTAGGGAATTAAGATCCTTTTGTTTTGGTGCCTCAAACTACAATGCAGACTGTCCTTTGCCTTTAACAGCAAGATATCTTTGGCAATAATGTTGAGTAGGCTAAAGGAGCTGGAAATTTCTGCTGAATTGGTATTTACCTACCACATATCTGTTGGACGCCCAGAAAATGTCTTTCATTTCAGCGAAGCTGCTTGCAGTAGAGATAATATATAATGAAGTTTTTAATAGCATTTCTTTGCCTTCGGAATGGCATTATTCAGCTTTGATGTTGGACGTGAGGAGTGGGAACCTGCTGTATTGGTGTATGCGTGCACACCCAATGCTGAGCTTTTTCTGTCTGTCTTGCAAACTGATCTTAGTAATATTTTCTTTTCTTCTTTTCATATTTCTTTTCCTGTGATGTGTTACTTTTCCTTTCCACTGTTCTCCCACCTTTTCCTCCCTGTCCTTCATCCCACCCTGCCAACATCCTGGTCTGCCATATCCTCGATCTGCTAGCTGGAAACCTTAGACTGCAGCAGATTGTAAATCCGGTTGATCCCTTGGAGATCCTGGCAGATGTGCACTGGACACACATCCGTGAAAAAGAGGAGGAGGAAAAAATGGTCCCAGCCTCAAAGTCCTCCACCTCCAGAGGTAATCTCCCCGTGCACTGTCAATCCCTAGAGACGATTGCAGCTGTTTAACTCTGTTGCTTCTGCGCCTTTTCATAGCAGTGCTCTTCAGAAGGGGCGGTAATGATTCAAAGGGACTAAGTTCTGAAATTGCAGTTGGTTAAACATTTTGCTTTTCAGGTCAGTTTCTGCTTAAAATGGCTGCTTTCTCAGCTCAAAAGCTTTGTGACTTCTGAGCCACTGGCATGCCTATTTGGACTCCACAGCATTCTTCCTCGCTGTAGAAATGGTTTGCTGGTGCAAGGCATCAGCCCTTGGCAACTGACATTAGGGGAAGTGCTAGAAGCTGTCGTGTGCTTTTTTTGTGGCAATGAGGATTCTACACCCAGGAAAGCTGAAGCGGGACATGTGTGTGGTCCATGCATCACAGTGAGAGACTGAACAGGGCTGGCTTCTGTACTGAGTGTATTTCTCTGCTGCTGCTTTTCAGATGGTGTAACTGCAGCTGGTAGTATCAGGGAAGGATGGAGTTCAAAGGGCTCACAGATCTGACCAGTCGTTGTCTGACTCCCTGTACTTAAGATTTGACAGGATTTCTGGTTTTTAAAGCAAGGTGTGATCTTTTTGAGTTGCTGGTTGCTTAAAGGAAAACTTTGGAGGGGGAAAAATGCCAACATTCTAGCTATCTTATAAACACCTTCCAGCCGTCCCTACTGACCTCACCTCTGTGCCAGACCCCTTTCTAGTCAATATTACTGGATGTCGTAAGGTAAGTACGTCGTACATGCTTTACTTATCCAGAAACTCAAGTTTCAAAAAAGTTAATGATGCTAATTTAGTGTGTGGTGGTCTTCTATCAAAGTCTATAACAAACCCTTGTGCCGGAATTGTGGAGGGAATAAGTGTGCTGTGGGAAGGGGTTTCTTTTACAGTAAATGTAAAATTAAGTTCATGACTGATCTGTATTGAAAAAGCCTAGGACTTTACCTCGTGTTGCTGATCTTATTCCATGCAAGGTAATTACCTTTTCCTCATAGTTCTGGTTGGCCTTTTTTAAATCCTGGTCCAACTTCATGCATAGTTACAGTTCAATTAGGCTGCGTTTATAACTGCAGTTTAAAGAGTGCACTTAGATTTTCTGGTGTGTAGTACAAGTAAGAGATCAGTATTTCCTTCCCATTGCAATCATAGAAATGGGCCTTGTTCCACTGTCTGTGGAACATTCAATATTCATCCACATTCAATATTCCTGCAGTGGTTACTTTAAAGTTAAGACCCCTGAGTTAAAAATGATAACACGATTTCTTAAGTTTACCACAATGAAGGTTCGTATAGCTTCTGCTTGAAGGTCTGTGGCACTATAGTGTCTGAGTTTTTCTTTTAGTTTGTATTTTCTGATTCCTACCTTTCCATAGTGTATTAGTACATCTGCCAGCAAAATAAAGGAAAGCCTATGTTGATCTTTCCAAATTGATTTTGCAATCTTTCCGGCTTCTTTTGGGAAGCAGGGCAGTATTTCCTTCCCTTTCCCTCAAACTAGGCCAAACTAGGAAAATCTACTGACCAATAGATAGCTGCTTCATTTACACTGGGATGCAGTGCAGGCATGCACTGGCATATCAGCAATTTGTTTTTAAAATAACTGCTGCAAATATGTACTGGTGGATATGCCATAAATTTTCAATCTGAGTTGATAGACAGATTTGTTCCTGGCTGAGCTGTATTCTGTCATATGAGCTGTTTGGAGAGCTTATCAGAGGAGCAGCTGGAGGTGAGGTTTGATCTGGAATAACATGGCTGAAACGCAGAAGTCTCTCTCGTTCAGTTTCAGGAATTCTTCCTTGTCTGGTAGCATTCAAACCCGGGTGGTGCAGATTCTGAAATACTGTGGCTGACGGCTTCTGCTATGTCTCATTGCTCAGCTCTTTCATCTATTAATTTCCCTCCTGTACAAAATTTCAAGCTGAGAGTACAGCAGTAGCAACCTGCTAATCAGATGCCAAGAACTCTGTTTTTCTTACATTGCCATCTGTGTTTCCTCTAACATCCCATCCTAAAGGAAGATTTGGCCTTTGGCATTTGTATGTTATCTTACTTTAAATCCCAAGCCTGTTATCAATTGTTTAACATCTCTTAGGTTTTATTCCTGTATTTGCTACTGAAAAATTTCCCTTTTGTCACATTTCACTTTTAGACACTTCCTGATGGTCTAATTTTGATTTCTTATAATTTATTGTTTTTTAAATTCAGCATCCGACCTTCCCTCCGTACGCCGTGAGGCGGTACAGGCGTGGCTGGAGACGGTCCCTGGAGGTAGTTTGGTGATGTTCTATGTATTCCAATGCACAATAACCCTGCCCGTCTCTTCTCCATGCCTTCAGCAGCTGAGCTGGTACTTTAACCCTGGAACTTATGGCCCTGTCGCTACTGCATGACTGGAAGTGGAGGGAGGGAGGAAGGGGAAGTGTGCATGCATGCCTTGCTCGGACAGCCCATTCTTGCATGAACAGGACATTTGTTGTAACCCTGTGGAAGACAGGCCAAACAGAGAGGTCATCGTGGTGTAATAAAGTAGCAGGAGGAATCTAGTTGAATGTTTTGATTTGTTTTATGAATAGAAGAGTAGATCAGTTATTCTTCTCCCAGCTCCTTGAGTAAAAGAACATGGGGCTTTTTTGCAGTTGAAAGGTTAAGTGACAGAGAGCTCTTGAAGCAATTGCAATTATCTGAAGCAATTGCAAATTCTAGATATCTTGTGAAGAAAGCGAGAAAGAAAAGTGAGGTTTAAGCTGGGACCTTTAGGAATAGCAATGACTGTTGTGTCTCCTTTGACTTGGAGTTCATGTTACTTAGGAAAGCCTCAGGAGAGCTGAAGGGTGATAGAGTTCAGTTGCTTTCTTCAGTTGGTCCTCTAAGCTCTACTGCAAAGCCGATGAGTGTGGAGATTCTGGGATTAGAGTAAGGGAGTCAAATTCTGTAGAGCAATGGAAGTATCTAAATCAGTAAGGAGTAGTTCATGGTTATGTAGTTGATCTATGGCTATCTTGCTTTGGCACATCAGAATAACTAGCTCAGCTACAAAACTTTGCTTCTCTTGCTGCTTTGGCAAGGCAGCAGTGTTTACAGGATGGCTGCACGTGATGCAGTCTGCTCATGGCTGCTAGCTGATGTGAGCGAAGTGCTAAACCCAGTTTCTGGCTGCCATAGTGTGTAGCTTCTAAGTTATTGTGTGACAGCTTTTGGCCTCTTGCTCCTTATCCTAACTGCGTATACGTATATGCACAGTATATGTATAATATAACCAGCCACTTGCAAGCTCTCCATGTCCCTCAAAATGGGATCCCCCTTGCACCGAGTTGTTACTATGTTATCTATGCATCCATAAAATTGTTTGTTGAGTTTTATGTACCAAGCTCTCTAAAAGAGTTGATTTTCTCCTCTCTCTTAAACACTTTGTACGTGAGTCATGTCACCTCATGGTTTCTGCATCAGAAGACACACATGTACATAGTGGTATCAGATATTCCTAGCATCAGAGTTACTTTTTTTCAAGTTTTGGTTAAGATTGCTCACATTTGGTTTTACCTTAAAACCATCCTATGGTGTTAACTGTTTTCAAAATAACATTTGCTAGGGCATACCTCAGCAGCAAGCAGACAGAGGCACAGTTTGGTTTTATTCAGTACATCTATAGATGCCCTTGTGGGAGGACCAGCCTTTACTACTTGACTCGGTCTCCTATGTCTCCTACGCACTAGATCTGTAAGATTCTGGATTTTATAAGCCTCCAACATAAGGGAATAAGCCAGTGCTTTATCACACTTAGGAATTGCCTTTTCACAATAGTTTACAGAAAATAAACTGACCCGTATGTTTGTCTATCTTGATAGTACAGAGGGGAAAAGCATAGAATAAAATAAGTTCTCAGGCTGAAGGAAGAAGACAAACCACCAACCAAAGGCTATGTTTTGAAATAAGCAAAAACCTGTATTAGAGAAATAGGAGACACTGTAAGACCTCAATTGTAGGGATAATTGGTTTGTTTTTAAGATTGTCATAGTTAATAAATGGTTCCAAAGGCCACATCTTCACTAGTAAATAAAAAGGTCTGGGGCCCACTCTCTGACTCTGAAGAAAGCTGCCACAGCATGACTTGCACCCATATGGCTAAAACTTTTTTATCATCCAGAATCGGCGGGGCTGCATCCAGACTGCCTATTGGAAACATACTGCAGCCCTGCCACGGGAAGTAACTGCCAGGAACCATGCCAGGAGCCCTCCTACCAGTTTAGCAACGGAATTGGCAGTGTGACACTCTATGTATTCGGGTCTGGAGACTTGCACTGCTTAGTTTACTGGTATAGGTGTGACCAAGGAAGTTATAAATGCTCCTGTTGTCATCATTTAGGACCAGATACTGTGTGTATAGTTAGCGAACATTATGCATAAGAATACACGCTGACTGCATACTCATTTGCAATAAGTGGACATACAAAAACCAAGCTAAGTGTCCGCATGTTATTATTAAATAGATTCTAACGCACTGCACAGATCCAAAAATGTAGTTGATGGACTCTGCAGTGGAAAAAAATGAAGCACTTCTATGTTTACATTTAAATTATGTCTGAAACTATAGCATAACATGAAAATGCCTGAAGAGCAGCAACAAATTTTTAGTAAATCACCCATAACACTAGAGATGAGAAAGGGTGTAATAAGGTGAGAGTTAGTAGAGGGTTATTTTAGGTTGTTAAGCATCTTTTAAAAATGAAATTTAGACCCTCACAGCTGGGTCTTCCTCCTGTAATTAAATCTTGTCATGAGTGCATTGGTTGTCACATGCCCCTTTTGGTGTTATAAATTCAAGAATCTTGTCTTTATATTGACCCGACAAATCAAATCATGGGCTCTAACAAAAAGCAACGTTTTGAATGCATCTTTTTATTTGCTTAAAAATATTTTGATTCATCTAGTTACTTGTACAACATATCAAGTCTCTCAGACTGTTTTATCAAAGAATGCTGTTAGCCGCACAGAGTTAAATAGTTTCCAGATGTAATAATGATCAAACCTAGAGCTAGACTCTTCGCCTCTGTCTTACACCCTCAAAAATCTGATGCAGTTTCTAGCTGAATGGTTGTGGTACATTGTGAGATTTCAGTTTTCAGCTAATACACACATACTACAAAGTGATGGTCACTATTTTGTTGTAGTAAAGAAAAAAAAATCTTTCTGAAAAACCAGTAAGCTTTATTCTGTGTCCTCCCAGTCCCCTTCTCACTGAATTTTTCACAAGGCCCATGCCTCAGAAAAGTCCTGGCTGCCTTCATTACTCATGTCTTGGAGGCGCCCTGAAGGCAGGCACTCTGATTGCTTGGAGTCTGAAGGTATCAATTGACTATATATGTCTTTCCCGCTGACACGCTTCAGAATTCCTTGTTTTTGTAGTAATTAATGAATATTTCTGCTAGGGACATTTGGTGCAATTTAATGTTGAACCTTTTCACTGTATAGATTTTTTTTTTTTCTTTCTCAATATTTGAACATATTCTAGCTCCATGTGAGGATAACGAAGTGGAGGATGAGCTGGGCACAGAGCCTGCAGACACGGAAGGGCAGGCAGGTGAAGAGGGAGACACAGGTGCAGAACTGGATGATGGTAAGGTACCACTGTGCATCATTTAAACCTTGTTATATGAACAACACCATACTGGCAGATACAAATACTGGCAAAAGCAAATACTTTGCCCTTAAGTCTGATCTTACTTCTGTTGATGTAGAAAGGAGTTCATTGCAGATAGACAAGGGGAAGCCAGGGGTGAAGGACAAATAGGAGCGAAAGAACCTCAATGCCATGGATTGTAGAACAAATTTCGTGCATTCCTCTCAACATCTACTGAATTAGAGGGCCATTCTGGAGTCCTTATTCAGTAATTAATCTTGCTGAATAATTTAAATAGAAGTAAATTTTTGAAAGGTCTAAGATATTATGCCAAAAAGTCTTCCCTTGCTAATGTAGAAAGAACTGCATATTTCAGAAAACATTGAAAAGTTTCCAGAAAACTGAGAAGGTAGGACTTCAGCTACTTATTTATTTATTTAATCATCCGTCACTTACTGATAAATGGCACTAATTAACACAAAATAAAGGAGGAAAACTTTTAGATATTTGTGCTATGACAGTGATAAGCACCTTGTGAATAGAGAGGATTATGAAATATTTTGAAAATAAACAGATGTCCTGATTGACTTGTACCCAAGATCTCTTCTTTTTTTTCCCCCATCCATATAATTAATGATCAGATGACATCCCATCCGATGCAGAAGCTGAGTTTCGCTTGCATCAAGGTGACATAGAAGAGCCAGAACTGAAGGTCTCTGAAGAAGAAGAAGATGAAGAAGGAACAGAAGGTGCTTCTTGCAGTGTGACAGAAGGTAGACACTTGAATGATTGTAACTTGCACTCTGGACAGGGGCACAGTATGTACTTGCATTAAAGTTTTTCATAAGGGTATTCTGAATCCGTTAATTATCGCTTCCTAAAGCGTATGAGAACCCATGTAACTGCTTTTCCTTGTAGAAGTTTTTGCGTAACAAGCTTGTACCATTTTGGTCATTCAGAAAGTTTTGGCTACGTTCTGGCTGTCCAGTGTAGAATTTATAAAGGGCTAAGAAATTTGTCACCATGTGCTGTGTGTAACAAAAAAAATGTACAGTATTAGTGGTCTCATTTGTTTTCTGAAACATACTTTCACTTTCCCTAGATCCATGCAAGCCGTCCATCCCTATCCAGCCAGCTAACGGCAGTGTTCTTCCTCCGTCTCCTGTTGATAGTCCCAAAGCAAAACAAACAGAGGTAAGAATAGAAATCTTTGAAGCTCTTTACTTACTTCCTGTAGTTCAATAGAACAGTTTGTCAGATAAGCTAATATAGGCTGACAGCAGTGATCTTTCCTGCTTTCCTGTCTCTATAATTTATGTTGATCTTGAAATCTGACTTTGTTTAGCTTGAAAAAATAATGTACTATCTTTCTTCCCTTAACTTCAGAGCGTAATGGCTCATCAGTGCACAAGTTCCCATCACAAAGTCAAAAAAAGATTTCTGTAGGATATTTCAATTTCAATGTACAGCTAACAGGAGTTGTATATTTTATATATAATGCATGAGGAGAGCCTAGGTATGGTGTTTTCTCTTTGTTTATCCTGGTTTGGTTGTGTTTCCTATATAAAAATCAGATTTTGTATGGCTGCAATCCAAAATGATATTTGTATATACTTAGGTAGCAGTAACCAAAGTGGTGCTTATTTATTCCAGAGTAACAATGTATTTCAGCTCAAGGAAGTGTGAGACATGTCAATTATTTACTGTCCTGTTGCCGGCCTTGGAGCTGGCTTGCAAGCTTGCTATGTATCCAATGACTGATGTGTAAGAGCAGGAAGTAAACGACCCTTAAAATGTTCAATCCAAACATTTTTTCCCCAGTGTTTGTTTATAAGGAATCATTAAAAGATTAGAGTTTCCTAGAGAGTTCAGCATTAATCCAGATTGCCTGTAGAGTGGACGTATTATGGGGTAAGGTTAGTTTGCTGACAGCAATTGCTGACAGCATTCACTCTGTTAAAATCAAGATTTTTTTTTTCTAGGCACATCTCATGATTCCATTAGTTATTGTTTATATTAATATAGTACCCAGATGCAGTACCCAGGACCTGCAGGGCTTTGTAATAAGTGTCATATTACATAAGCACACATACAGAGAGGTTCCTGCTCTGATGATCTTGTGTCAGTTAAACCAAACTTTGTGCATTTAAAAGAAAGCCTGTGCAAAAAAATGTCTTTGGAAAGAATAATACCAGAGCTCATTACGAGGAGTTCCCTGCCAAAGGGTTAAATTGTAAAACCAAGAAACACGCTATTGAGTAATATGTCAGTCCAGATGTAGGAAGTGAAAACCCAGACTCCTCAGAGCGTTAAGGATCAAGAGAATTGCAGCCTAATTTATTCCTAAAGGAGAAAACACCCCTTGCTTTAAGAAATCATGTACTTACAGCAGATGCTAGCTAGCACAAAGTGCTGTATTGATGACAACTGGAGAGACTTGTATCAAATCTGTCTGAGATAAGGAATCACCATAATATACAGATTTGGGGAAGAGAAGAGAGAGCAGGAAAGGATAGAAATGGATTTCTGGAATTTAGCATGCTTTTTCTTCCAAAAGTTAAATTTGCCTTCTTGTCATGTACAAAAGACAGTTTATACCGTGGGACAGAGGAATAAACCATACCTAATGAGAAATCCTAAGTGGCTTTCCAGATAGAGGAAAGGGATGTGGGTTTTTTCAGATGTCCATATGTGGGTTTTTTCAGATTTTGATTCTTAGATTGCTTCTTTATTGCTAACTTCCCTTAATAGCAACAAAAATGGAACAGCATTCCAGTATGCCTAGTGTGCCTAGTGAGTATTAATTTTTTTTTTCATTTTTGTAGGATGTAAAAGATCCTCTTGCTGCAATATCCCATGCTATAAAATCTCCAGAGGCACGCTTTTTTTCTGAGCCATTCATTCTTGAAGAAGGACCAAAGGATGAAATCCCAAAAGACAGGAAAGTTAAGAGCCCTTCAGTGCCACTCTCTCCAGTATTATCCCAGCCAGCTGCATCACCAGAAGCCATTGCACCTACATCACCAGCAGAGTCTCAGCCAGCAGCACCGACCTTGGCTTCATCCCCAACATCTGCTCAAACGCCTATATGTTCACAACCTTTGCCTTCTGCTGAAGCATCCATTCCATCCCCAGTGGAGCCTCCAGTATGTTTCCAGCCTGTCCCAGCCTTAACGTCTACTCCTCTGGCCAAACTGGTCCTAAGGAGCCAGGATAGCGAAGTGGAAAAATTGAGGAGCCCTACTACTGCAGAAGAAGCCCTGAAACGGAGTAACCTTGTAGAAGAGTTCTGGATGAAGAGTGCTGAAATCCGGAGGAGCTTAGGCCTCACCCCAGTAGACAGAAACAAACGCTCAGAGCCAAGTTTGACTGTATCTGCCCTTGAGACAACTCCTCTGAAGTCTTTTAATAGTGAGAACGTTTCAGGGGAGGAGAGGATCCACCTTGTGAAACCCCAGCCTGTCCCAAGAAGGCAGGGACTGTCCAAGTTAGAAAACGAGCAGATATCTCTGCTCACTCCAAAATCTCCATCAGAAAAAGATCTGAAGAGTTCTAATGAAGTAAGAAGAGACGTATCCAGCAGTTCTGGACTTGGCCTTCAGGAGAGTTCATCTAACATGAGAACACTCGCTAGTCAGAGCTTCAACACTTCTGACTCTACCATGCTTACTCCTCCCTCAAGTCCCCCACCACCACCTCCTCAGGATGAAGAACCAGCCACTTTGCGTAAAAAGAGGCATCAAGCGATTTGGCAGAATGAGGTTGAAGCCAAGTCACCTCCAACACCAGCATCAACACCTCCTGCTCCCCGACGCTACGAGCCAACCTCTGCTGCCAAAGAGTCAGCCCAGGCCAGAAATGAAGACGTGCGGAAGTCTTTTGCAGAGAGTGTAGATGAGATTCCATTTGCTGATGATGTAGAGGACACATATGATGAGAGGACAGAGGACACAAGCCTTCATGAGAAGTTCTTTACACCTCCTACCAGTAGGCCAAGGCCAGAGAAACCACTTATTTTGCCCTTGGTCAAAGAAAATGGCGGTCCACCCTCAATGGAAGGAGGAGGTAGCCAAAAGAAGAGGGTGCTACCTGGAATTTCTCCAGAAGCAAAGGAGCTTGCTGAAGAAAGAATGAGAGCCAGAGAAAAGTCTGTCAAGAGTCAAGCACTACGTGATGCCATGGCTAAGCAGTTGTGTAAGATGAAGGATATGGAGATGGCTCCAGCTGCTGCTGCTGGAGCCGCAAGGGCACGAAAGGCATCTTCCATGCCCTTGAAGACCAAAGAGTTATTTTATGACTCTCCAAAGCATTTGGCCTTGAAAATAGCAGAGAGCTCTACACTAAAGCATGATGCTGCTAGTGAAAAGTTCTCCACTCCTTCTGCTGATGTGGCTGGGCCTGAAGGGTCTGTCTCCTCTTCAGAAGGCTCCAGTGGAAAGAGTAAGAAAAGAACTTCTCTTTTCTCCCCTCGTAAGAACAAAAAGGAGAAGAAATCCAAAAATGACAGCAGGCTTTCTGACAAATCTAGTGGTGGGACAGAGGAAACTACAAAAACTAGATCATTATGGAAGTCTGTTTTTTCTGGGTATAAGAAAGACAAGAAGAAAAAGACTGATGACAAATCCTGCCCGAGCACTCCCTCCAGTAGCGCCACTGTGGAGTCTGGCAAGCACAAGGCTTCTCCATTGGTTACAGCAGCAGGTATAATTGATACGTGCCTCTGCACTCTGTAGTTTTACTACAGCTAGGAATCCTTGAGTGTAAATGTGGCTCTGTGTGCTACTGTGCAGCATGACACTGCTCTGCAAGAGAGTAGAACTGTGTGTTTGTGTATTTGCAGAATTAGTTTATATGGCAGTGAAAAAAAATGGATCCTTAAATAGAAGATTCACTCTTGATATGTGCAAGACATATCTGTTTTTTGCCTTAGACTGACTTGAGAAAGAATCGTCCTTTGCTGGAATCAGGTGTTTGTGATGTTTCATCTTTTATTTTAAATCTGATTCTCATCTTTTCCTTTGGCGGCTTGTTCTCTTTCTTTTGATCTGGCACCACGGATGCTGAAGATCTCAGAGTTACAATTTCTTCTGTGTTTTCAGTGATCTGGTAGCTCTCTACTGATCTAAGAAGTGGGGATCCTGAGGTCTCGTGTATGTCTCTCACAGGTCATCAGGTGCAGGCAGACATATTTAGTGATAACTTTTGATACAGTAGATAAGTTAGCCATAAACATGGTCAAAAGCAGACACACAACATTTCTCTGACCTTGCACGAATAATGAAAGTTGTGCCTGCTGCTGTCATCCAAATTCTGTATCTATCCATAAGACACTGATACAGCAGAAAGGGAGAATCATGACCATTACTTCTAACACCATTTGCGGAAGGTGATGTTCTCTTGGAATGAAGCTTCTAATTAATACTGATCATTTTGTGGAGCGATGCTTCTCTGGTCGGTATATAGTACCAGTTAAAGCAGCTGGGAATGGTGTGAAGGACTAAGTATTGTTGAAGCTTGATCAGACAAGTTATTAACTGACTTCTAAAGCGTTTACAGAGAGAAATGGACTGTCATAGTTGCCATTTTTCTAACCTCATTTTTTTTGTTCCTGGCTCCTCAGATTTGCAGCTCCGTCGACACCTGAGTTTCTCAGAGGACTCTGACCTCTCCAGTGACGATATTTTAGAACGTTCCTCCCAGAAATCCAAGCGAGAGGTAGGCAGATGGGGAATGCATTTTAGATGGAGCAAGCATCCTGTAGATCATAGGCTCAGAACCACAGCAGAAATTCGACTGATTAATTTTGTCATTCTTACTGCTTCTTCTGGGAGCTGGCTTTCCTGTAAGCTGGCTGGTTGATCCACTTGATCTGCCTAAAATCAGTTAGTTTCACAAATATGAGCTTTTCCCTATTGTTGTTACATGAAGGATTTGTTGTCTCACTGAAACATTGCTTTGCAGCTGAATATCGTAGTCTGAACGGTGATATTTTTGTCCCTGTTGTGAGCATGCCAATGATCTATACAAAACAGGTTTAGTATCGGGGTAAATTTCACTCGCTCTAACATAATTTCAATTACTTTAGTGGCAAAAAGGTACCAATGAAATAGTCCTTTTTCTTGTTGTGAGGGTCGGATTTTAGGACGCTATTTTACCAGCCTCTTTGATAAATTAATCTGATAGAATTCCAAGCAAATTACAGGCAGGAATGTTACTTTGCATGCGTCAAGAACATAGTCAAGACAGATCATCCACTAAAAGGTAAGCTACAGGTTGCAGTTTTGCAACTCATACAAGTTTGCTGATTTTTTTCCTGGGAGAAGAGGAAATGTATAGTCTGAATTAATTTCTTCCCTTTTTGGAGAAAAAATGAGCCATCACCTCTCTCTCCCCCCATTTGACCATATTCCTTTTGAGGACTCCTTGGCAGTTCATGGGTATTTCCATATGTCTGTTCATATAGATAACAACTGTGAAAATGAAATACACAGCAAGTGTCTATAAAATCCCAATATATAGGGATTGGTCTTAGCCTGGTGTTCTCATTCAGGCGTGGGCTGATATGAACTCTACTTCTGAGAAAGTTGTTTCTTGTTCCTGAGCAAGTTTCCCTAGAAAGTGCGGCAATATTGCGATGTAAGCCATGTCAATGGCTCTCTAGCCAGATAAGTTTCACCTTAAATGGTGATTAAATGAAGATGTTGGAGAGAACAGAAGAGGGACCAGTGGATCGCTGTAAAAGCCCAGGAAAAAAAATAAGTTTAATTTATTTGCAGCGTGGAAAATACATGGTGAGAGCAAAGTGCCTAAGTTAGCTGCTTTCAAATTATCTATTTCAATTTTAGGATGGCACTATTAATACAAAGATAAGTGGAAAAATATGAGGATCAGCTCACTTTATCATAATGGGAAAGAACCCTTCTTTCATTCCTGAGATGTTCTAAGATCTGCCTAGCAGGGTGCAAGGTTTGGAGGGATAAGTGGGGATTCCACTGACCCCGCAGTACACTAACGCCTTACTGGTACTGCAAAATGAAAAATGAGTTCCTTCTGTCCCTTCCTTGTGGGGCCTGGTTCGCATGTTAATAAAGAAGAGAGTATTTCGGAGGGCACTGTCACAGACACAGTGGTCTGTGCCTCCAAACTTTAACCTTTCATCCAGCGTGCAGAAATCAGTCTCAAATGACAGGATCTAGTTGACACTTGGCTCAGATGGCAAAGGTATGGAAGTACTGTAGATTGAAATGTGATAGGAAATACTTTCTCTGTGTGTATATATAGTGGAATGAATTAGAATACTTAACAAATGTAAGGCTAGAGGAAGGAGCTGATGAAACAAGTAGGAATTTTCTATGTTTACTTACCTCTCTTTTGATCTCTCTCCCTAGTTGGTATGTATTTCCTCTGAGAGGAAGATTACTTTGTTTTCATTCGGTTCCCTTTTTTTCCTTTGTCTTCCCCTTCCATTTTTGCTTGCATGCTGTCAAGGCGTTTCATGAGAAATTCTGCATTTTGCAAGAGATGCAGACGAATGAGGTACCTGTGACTAGCAGAGGACAGGCTTGCAGTACAAGGGGTTCAGATAAGACTTATGAAGCTACAGTTCTGCACTGTAAGCTTCTTCAGGAGGAAGCAGGGCTTCATTAAGGTCCATGCCTGTTCTCAAACTTGGGTATACCTTCATGGTTACTTAGTTTTCTGTGCTGAGCTGCTTCAATTTTAAAAGGCTTTTGCAGAAAATGTTCTCATCACTAAGATTATGGATGATAGGATCAGTGGCAGGTACCTGGAATCCTAATATTCAGACTATCTCACCAGCTCTGTTGAGGGTATGGTGGTGCTTTCTTGTTTTCTCCCCTTTGCTGTTACTGAAGTCGTGTTAAGAATTTCTTTGCTCAGCATCTGCCCATTTTCTAAAGGAGCAGGTTTTGAGAATGAATATAGTAATTTAGAGGGGACAGATCTGAGAACTCCACTTTCTAGTTACAGCGCATCCTATCTTAAGGATATCAAACATTTATGCAAACTCTGGGATGCTTTGCTGTCAGAGGAAATGTAGCTGGACTTTAGGACTTAGGTATTTTAAGTTACAAACAACCTGTTACTTATTATGGTAAGAACTGACTTCCTGTGTGCCGCATAACTTTTATGTGAACCCCTCCTCTAAACTGAAATCCTGCTTGTGCTGCTGCTCTTTTGGGTATAGTAGTGAGCTTGCTTCCCAGAGAGCTTGCTCTGTTTAGCTTGTTCTTTGTGATCAGCAATGAATTAATTGTTATTTAGTATAGTGGCTTTCAAGAGAAGCCTCCTAAAGAGAATTCCTAGTGTAATGCTTTACGTTAATAGGTGTTTGTCATTGTGTGTGCTTGTCGTTGTTCCCGTGCAGTTGTGGTATTTGTAATCAGACATGCATTTGCTGCTACAGGTAGTTTGCTGGTTACTGAAATTTGCATACATGCTTAAGTTGTTCTGTGGCTTTTCATTTGTGACTGTTTTTAATTTATTGAATGTGAAAAAGCAAAATGCTGGCTGTTACCCCAGAATGGCACAATGCCCTCTGCAGTTCGTGACACAAGGGAAATACACCTCTCTTACAGACCTGAGGTAGTCTATTTGCCTTATTTTCTGGGTGTGGTGTAAGCTTACAATGTCGTTGGATAGAGAAGGTAATGACTGTTTTGTTTCTTTTCATTATTGAATTGAGCTACCAGAAAGAAGAGCCAGAACAGAAAATCAGAAAAAATAGTTTAACAATGTTTAGTTCCTGATTCAGTCAGTACTACTGAAAATGTTACACAGTGCAGCAGCACTGAATCAGTTCTGATGCAGTGTCCTAATTTTAGTTCCTCAAACTCTCTGGAGATTTTCTTTTTAGACAGGGAGATTCCGTTATGTAGGACATGTAACCCACTATGAGCCTACCTGGTATTTCTCCAGTCACAAAGCGGTGAGGAAGATTATGATGGTATTTGAGTGCAAATGATCATTTCTATTAAGTAAAGATCATTTAAAATCATGAAATAAACAGAACTTCTAGGAGAGGTGGTAAATCAGTCAGTACATGTATGGCAAAAAGTAATATATGATTGGGTGAGCAGGTTCGGACCAAGCATGCCCAGCATAAGGCCTTATTCCAGATCTTAAGCCAAAATTTTGTTATGCACGTACACTTACTTCCTCAATGGACATTGAATCCAATGGATGGAGACCATAGAGGCCAAAGAATCCCTCTAGAAAAGGGGATTTCCAGGTTGAATGCATCTTCAAAGAGAATCCCAAACCTAATGGCCTTCAGGAGGGTGCTAGAACTTTGATTTTGTGGCAGAAGTTCCATTGTGCTTAATCTGCCTGGGCCACATTCAGCATTTGCACAATTTTATGTTGCGTTTAAAAACAGCTTTGTTTTATTACTGTGCATCTGTTTTCAATGTTGAACTGATTTTGCTTCATTTTGTATGTTGTTTTTTTTTTCCTTTACCATTCCCCTTTAAAGTCGATTTATGTACCACACGCCTTGGCATTCAAGAGATCATACTCGTCAAAGGTAGTGTCTCCATTCCCACTAGTTGGCCATTGTTGCATGCCTGTCCCTATATTAACCCATTGAATCCATAGCTACCCATCACATGTGCACTAATATCACAAACATTGACTGTGCATGCATGAGACGTTAGCAGACATGGGCAGTAAAATCTTCCGAGAGGTTGTCTACCAAAAATGCATTAAACTCCAAATTCTCTGACTTCCTAGAGTGCATGCACTTATCGGTGAGAAACAGTTTACTACTATACAGAACAATATGGATGAGCTTTGAGCTTCGGAACAAATTGGCTTGCTAGGCAGTTAAATATATATGTATTCTTTTTAATACTTAGAATATTATTGCAAGTGAATTGTCACACTTCAATCAGTGTCCTTCAGAGTCCTTGGATTCACTGAAATCTTGGTGAAACTCTATTATCAAGCTAAAATCAAAAGACAGAAGTTGCATTTCTATTTCAGGAGTGTTTCTGTTTTCTGAAATTCTTATTGCCCTTTCTTCACCGTCAAAAAGGTACTATGTGGGATAGGAAATTCTCACCCTATGACTTTCCCTTCTGTCTGCCTGGGGTGTCATTGTGGATTTTATGTTAAAAAAAAAAAAAAAAACAGAAAAAAGAGTAAAGCATTAATAACTTGGAGTTTTAACGATGGTGCTTGGTAACTCCCTTTCTGAGGAGTTTTGAATAGAGTTGTGGTCCTAGCTTAAACCTTAGAGTTGTGGTCCTAGCTTAAACCTCTACTTACTGAGAACAATAAAACAGAGACTGATCAGTGTGGCAGTACAATAACTAGATAAAGCAAATTCAGGTTGGTCTGTATTAACATTTTGTCCTTTAAGTTGACTCTCCATGGAGAAGATATCTTTCCAGGAGTGGAAGGCATCTGTTTCCAGCTGTCCCTTAAAGCCTGTATACATGTATGTGAGAAGAGAGTTCTTTTCTTCACTGTAGTTACAGTTGTGAAGCACCTTTGATGCTCTCCAAGTCTATGAGAGGAAGCCTGCCTAGATTACAAAACAACCAACTGATATGCCTGAAAAGATACTAAACTCTATTTTCAGTAACGATCTACTTATTTTTAAACTAGTCGTACTGAGAGAAAAGAAAAGGAGGAAATACCTTCTATCTCTATAAACATAGCCTTTCTCCCTTTGGATGGCTTCTGGTGTTGTGGTAGTCTAGTTTCAGTTTAGGAGTTGTTTGCTTGTTTGTTTTACACTAGCCAATTTTGTGAGGTTGCTCTTGAGATGGGATTTCCCCTCTCACAGCAGAACATCGCTCTGCTTTCAAGTCTCTTTTTGCCTTCTTGATACATGGAAAAATTGCACAAATTTGTGCAAGTAGTTGCTACCAGTTGTACCAGTATAACTCCCAAATACGGATGTTGTTGCTCCAGAATAAAATGGTATATATGTAGAGAGGGGAATACCAATATAACTGCACTGGTCTAAACTGATTTCTTAGCTTGTACTGCTATAACTGTTTCATGTAGACATGCTTTACCGTCTTCAAGGTGACCTCTTTTTTAGTCACTATTATATTGACTTAACTAAATCTATTTGGCTAAATCTATAGAGAAAAAGAATAAAAATAGATTTGATCTTTGTGAAGAGATTCCATATAGCAGTGGAAATCAGGGATAGGATGTTAAATAAAGTCACAGCTTTGCAGTTGGCTTATATGCTTCTTCACTCCTGATTTGACCCTGAAATTGTTGCTCACTGCACTGTGAACACCTGTGCCTACAAAAGCTTGACTTTTGACACAGCCATGGCAATGACAGAACACCTCTCGTATGAAATCTTGGAAGAGAAAATTGTCTTCCCTTCCCCATATCTCTGTGCATGCAAATAAAATTTGTTTCTATTTCTTCTTCCTTCAGAGAGCCTACACAGAAGAGGAACTGAATGCAAAGCTGACTCGGCGAGTACAGAGAGCTGCCCGTAGACAAGCCAAGCAAGAGGAGCTAAAGAGGTTACATAGAGCCCAGGTAGTGTCTCAGACTTTTCTTGCCATGGTAGGAAATCTCTATCTGAAAGCACCGCATTCTAAGTGTGTCAGAAGAGGATCCAGAGCCAGAACTTTCCTCTGTTTCTACATGATTGTCACTGCTCCCACTCTCTGTCAAATTTGGTACCATGTCACAAACATAGGAAGAATTGCTGAAACCTATCACGATAGTATTAGAGCAAGAACAACGTCAAATAATGACTGTAACGCCTTTGTATTTGGAGGTGAGCAAAGTACCGTTCACTGAACGGAACAGTGATAGTAAAATAATACCTGATGAAGCTGCACCAATGATTGCTGTACTAGGTTACGCTGCTGTGAGAAGTGTTACCAAATTAACCTTTCATCATCAGAGATCTGTTGGAAGACTGCTAGCATTGTCTGTTGGTGACAGGTTTTCTCTTAAAACTTGAGGCAGGGGGTTCAGCTAACTGAATAGCATCACCTTCTCTTCAGGGTATAGGAAAGTGATTGGAGTGACAGCAAATAAGTGAGTATCAAGGTGTTTGCAAAACTAAGGCATAGGATGCAGGGGGAGTCCCTTCACTGGATGGGACTGTGATGCTAGCTTCTGAAGCAGTGTGTTATTGAATGCAAATACTTGTTTTTGAAAAGGTTGATGTGACCAAAGTCTCTTAGAGCTGGATGAGTGCTGCAGACAGAACAAGAAAATTGCTATTTGTGAGATTCTGCTTGTTCTTTTCTGAACAGATCATCCAGCGCCAGCTTGAACAAGTGGAAGAGAAGCAGAGGCAGCTCGAGGAGAGAGGGGTTGCTGTAGAGAAGGCCCTTCGGGGAGAAGCAGGTATCCAGCAGAGCTTGGTTTGCTTTTCAATATTTTCTTACCAAATGCTAGTGCAGTAGTCCATAGCGATTCGGATTTTAGAGGCAATTGGAGCATTGTAGCCTAGAAGAATCAGATTGTGAGTTCATTCTCCCTTTTCTAGTATCTTTCTGAGGCCTTGTTGTTTCTGTGTTTCTTCTAATCCTTGGACTTCCCTAATGGCAGGAACTAGTTCACTTATCTTTGCCTGAGGCTCAGGAGGTAACCCTGCAAGTATTAATAGATTAAAATGTTCATCTGACAATTTCTGCATATTACTGGATATTACAGGTAGAAAATTGCAGGGGTTTCCTAGCAGCAGTTCATGCAAAGCTGTCACAGTAAGAGAACCCTTTTTGTACGTTAAGGAAGTAATTGTGAAATTGTGTGTGCTTTCTCTATTGTCTTGGATTATCAAGGTAGTGTCCATGCAAGGGACCATCACAGAACATCTTCCTCAGTGCACAGCCCAAGCACACTGGCAACTCCTGACAAAGTTGTGCAGAGCAGAAATGCACACGTGTACTGAAAGATATCCATTCTAAGATGTTAATGGAATATGTTAAATGTACTGGAAATTAAATTCAATGAGCATCACTTCATCTGGCGAAGTATATGAGTGGAGGAATACTTGGTTCAGATAATGCTGATAGCAGTATAATAATTTGGAAAAAAGAATCCCTAACTGCAAGGACTCAAGTATCCAACAGGCAAATGCAGTGTGTGTATATCTGACAGGCCCAGGATTATGCACCTGACTGCAAGGATCAGAGACTGGAAATTATAAGAGTGGAACAGGTGTTGGTGAAAATGATTTGGCTTGTTACTTGGATTGAAGAGCAATCACTGTACCTGTGAAGATGGTAGTTGCTTAAGCAATGAAAGTTCACCAGAGGAAAGATCTGGTGTAACTTCCCACCAGTTACTACGTGGCCACGATTAGTTGTTTCATGTTCTGTAAGGGCATGGCAAAGCAGCAGGACTGAGCAGTTATCAAAGCAAATGACTACTACAAGTGTAGAGAACAATCTTGATCACTTCAATGGTTTTGTAATATGACTGGCTTTTTAATTTGTGGATTCAAAAACTAACCTGATACAAAAACTGTTTCTCAGCGGAGTGTATTTCTGTGGCCCACACTGTTCTCTGGCCCACCGGTTACTGCACTTATTAACACCCCCTCTCTTGTCTCTTAATTCTTCTTTTCCTTTTTTTTTTTTTTTGTTTTCACCTGGAAGTCCATCTTGATTATTCACCTGATAAATGACATTAATGTAAGACGTGTCAGCACAAGCGGGAAAGCTTAGCAGCTGAGAGAGTGTTCTTCACCATAGCCTAAGAAATGTTCAGAGAGTGCAAAAATGACCAAGAGTAACAGTTTGGTGTTTTGTATGGAAGACTGCAGAGTTAAACTCTTGTACACCTTACTTCTCGCACCCAACTCACCCAGAAAGGACGCAGTCTTACTTGAGCTTGTGTATTTGTGATTTTCTTAGCAGGACTATGAAATCGTAGGTCCCTCTTGCAAAATGGGAGAATCTCCTTTTTCAGTAAGTCTCTAGGATATGCTTTGCTCCTGCAACGTTTCCATCGAAAGACTGTACATCATGTTTACAGAAGCTTAACTGCATCATAAAGAACTCACCAGCTTCAATTCTTCCAGTTATTTCAGGGGATTAACAAGAAACACATTCTGTTTTAAAAAAGGCATGTTCTAACCAGTGTTGGCTGAAAACACAAGTGAACTCCATCCTTCACCTCTCTAGGCCACTCTTGCATGGAAGTTTTACGTATGCCTGCAATAAGATAACTGGATAACTGCTCTGTGACTTCACCCTCCATTGGTACCATTAATTTCTGCCTCCAATGCCCATTAATTACTCAGGAAATCAGCGTAATTTTCTTCTTATCTGCATTGCATAAGATAGTGACCTAACAGCAACCACTGCATTCAGCAGTACCGTTGTGCAAAGGTGTGGAGACATACTCTTGTCTCGTCAGCTCCTTCTCTTAATGAAACCTTTTAAGCAAAAGCTGAAAAAGGGGCAGGCAGTGTATAAAGTGTTGTCACCTGAAGAATATCTCGTTCTGTTAAACAAGCTTGTGCAAGGTGTGCCTCTTCTGTGCATACTCTGTCCTCAGATATAGAGAAAGAATGCTATGCAGAATCAAAGTAATGGTCATCCCATAGACAGCAACCAGTATGAACTGTTCTTGAAGAAGTTATTGAACTCTAATGAGTGGATTATTCAGTTCCGCTCTCAGTTGGGAAAATCCTAACTTTAATTATTCACTGACTTGTGCAACTTCAAATAGGAAGTTTTATATAATTAGTAGGGGTTTCCTACTACTAGGTACTTGAAAATCCTGACAGGAGAAACAGAATTTTGTATTTTATAATGGTTTTTTTCTTTTTCTATTGTAGAAAAAGATAGTCAAGATCATCTGAACGCCTTCTCTATGCCATATATCGTCTTTATCATGTTGCCTGTCCTCTCACTAAAGGATTTCAATATTTCCTTAGGTATAAGTCTTCCATAACTTTAATTATTCATATCACTGACTTCTAGACCTTCTTCCATTTTTGCAAAAAAATTAAGAGCCAAAAATAGTGTTGTAGGTACGAACATACTTTAGAATGTACTTTTTGCTTCTGTTTTCCATCCAACTTAATATGTTCTTGCGAGCTGACTTAAACTGAGCAAATAATTAATAAATTGTTCATAGTGATGCCCTGCTATCTTCCTGAGAGATTATAGTTAATTTAGATCCATCCTAGCAGTAGGTACAAACAGCGCAGTATTCTTTCCAGGAATTTCACTTGTTACCTGATAGTTGTCAAGATGGAATATACTACATGGTAATACTAGCGGTTCAACTAATCCGACTAAGAAACATCTTGGAGGTCATTATGAACTTTAATTCTGACTAATCTAAATAATGGCACCTTCTTGTCTACTTCCTTGTCTCTTCCGTTTTTTGAATTGGCTCAGCCTCAGGCAAGCCACTGTTGGCCTTTTATTCTTCTGCAAGTGGAATGCTCATTCCGAAATTTAGTTTCTGATTCAGAAAATCGTCTTACATCCTATGATTACCTAATTGCCTGAATATGTTCTCTGTGATTATCTTTGAAAATCTCAGCCTCTGGCAGTTAGTTAGAATGAACTATCTGGAGTGTAAGCTCTATTTCAGGTGACAAGTTTGTAATATACATTTGGTTTAGGCTTTTGTCATCTGTTCTTTTTCTTCTTTTTCCCCCCCTCTCTTTTGCATCATGGCCATGGTACAGTAGGAGAGTCTCAATGAAGGATTCTCCCATTTTTCTGCAGTGTCCCAGTAGAAGAGACACTTCGAATGAGATCACTGTTAGTGTAACAGTGCTTTGTATGATAGTGCATTCGCCTGTTTGGACCTGGTAATGACATTCTTTTCCTGCGTGGATTTTTCATTTTTTTCAGTTATTAACTTGAAAAACATGTCAAGTCAGAAATTTTTGAACCTTCTTTTTTCTCCTTTGTCCCCCTTTAGCATAAAGTTTGATAATCATTTTTAAGAGCAGAGAAAACTCCTACTGTCAGATCAATACTGAAAAATTTAAGAGCCACCTCTTTCCGTCAAGTGAATCATATGCATTGGGGAATGGTGCTTTCAGTCCTCCCAAATGTTTCTTCCCCAAAGAACCATTATACAGTAGTGATTATTTAATCATAGTAGCATCATTACTTGTGGTGTACCTTTCTCTACCAGCTATGTACATACACACTGTCCGTTTCACACACTTTTGTGCAGGTTCTTCCTTCTCTGACACAGATACTGTGTTAGCACAAACGTCCATACCCATCTTTCTCCACTTACACATTTGCCATTCATCTCGGCACTCAGTCAGTGCCTTTCACTTGTATGCTGTACACATACATCCTCCGCTCACTCACCTCAAAGAAATCAACCCTTACGCCTTTGCTACAGCTGAGCCAAGAAATTACAGTGTTTCTTTCTGACATACTGCTCAGCATGGAAGCAACATGAATAGCTCTTCCTTTCTCAGCAAGAACAGGAAAGACATCAGTGTCAGGTACTGGTACAGACTGAAATAGGTGAAGTGTCTCTGTGTAGACTTCTTGATTTTTCCCATTGGAAGTCCTTGCCTGCCTGCTGGGAATTTTCTCCTCATCTTCCCAATATATATGTTTGTGTGTGATATATATATATGTGTGTGTGTGTGTGTGTGTATATATGAATAGAGGGAGGGACAAATGAATACATATGTATATGTGTGTGTGTGTACACACACACACACACCTGTATATAGCTGCATGGTTTCTCATTTGTCTTTTATTTTACTGTCGGTCTTTCTGTACGTCTCTTTTCTCATATATTGCTTTGAATGTGTGGGGCTGGGGTGGATATCTGGTTCAATAACTCTGTGTTCACCAATTCCTTGTTGTAGACTATTGGGGAGAGTCTTATTACAGTGACCTCATCGACTTGCATCTGGGTGGTATGTATAGCTGAACCTCTTGCTGACACTAACCCTGCTGACACTCCTCCCCACCCCTCCCTTCACCTACTTCTCCCATCCTTGGCTCACAAAACAAGAAGAAACAGTCCTTGCACATGACTGATTGGCTATAGCAGAACCCCTTTTCCAGCTCAGGGAGAGGAGATCCTGTCATACTCCACAAATCATGTGTAAGGCTCCCTTTTCTATTTTCCACAGTGTTAATTATTTCAGAATTTGTTTACCATTTTCACACCAGCCAACTTCCTTCCTAGCAGTGGAAGGCCATTCTGTTTTTTTTTTTTTTTCCTTCTCCTTTGCAAAGTCCAGTTCATCCAAATCCTCTTTTTAGGATTTATTTCTATTTAGGAAAATATTTTAACACAAAGGGCACAGTAGAATTGATCAGCTCCCAAGAGCTAATAGCACTCTAAAGGAGTGTCATGCCATTGCCTCCCTCTTCTCCTCTGGAAGCTCATTGGCT